GAGGGAACTAAGGTACAGAGAGGTTAGGTAACTTGGCCAAGGTCATACAGTGGCTAAGTTCTCGATTAGAATGAGGTGGCATGTTGGCAGCAGGGCCTGTCCTCTGAACCACCTCCATTGTGAGGCTCAAAGGTCTGTGTGATACTAATAGCCCTTAGAGAGAACTTTATAGCCCACACAGCAACTGCTATCCTCCCCCTTCCCCTAGCTCATCTCTCCCAAACAAGTTCACACAGGGACTGAGTTCACCTCTGCCCTATAGGCAGCCTAACCTGAGTCAAAGACAACCACTGGCCCAGGCGAGATCCAGCGGTTTTTTTAACATTTTAATTATAAAATATTTTATATATTAAAAAGATGTAAAAAATAACAGATACTCAGCACCCACCTGCAGCTTAAAAAATAGAGTTGTTTCTAGTAGCGCTGTGTCAGTGATAAGGTTCATCCCTCATGGTTCACTGGCTTGTTTTCTGTCGTTGTATTAACACGAGGGACACCAACCGGGCTATGAATGCAAGGCCTTTATTACAGCAATCCTTCCCCTTCCTAAAAGAGAGTCCTCCCCTAATTACAGTTAACTGTATCCTGCTCCTGCTGGAGACATCAGCAGTTTGGGTCACATAGCAGTTGCTCCACAGTGGAGCTGAGAAAGCTTCTGATTACCTAACTAGATAGTGACTCCCAACCAAGGCTGTGAACCCCTGGGCTCTGAGGAGTTCTTAAAGGAATGGGAGCCCAAGGGCTCAGCTAGCATGATTTAGAGACCAGGATTATTTACTCCTTAGCAAATCCATGAAAGTGCTGGATTCACTTGCAAAGTTTCATGTGAGTGTCTCTTTTCTCTAGGGAAAGGGTCCATTCCATATCTTTTATAAGATTTTTAAAGAGGTCTGAGACCTTCCAAAAAGGTTAAGAATCATCCCTACAGATCAGGAGCTGGCAAATGACCCACAGGCCAAATCCAGCCCAATGCTTGCTTTTGTACAACCCACAAGCTAAGGATGGTTTTTATGTTTTTAAGTGGTTGAAAAAAATCAAAAGAAGAATATTTCACTACATAAAAATTTTAAGAAATTCAAATCTGTGTCCATAAATAAATGTTTGTTGGAACACAGCTATGCTCATTCACATATTGTCATGGCTGCTTTTTGTGCTACAAAAGCAGGGTTGAATAGTTGCAACAGAGATGCAATGCTTGAAATTTTACTATCTGGCCCTTCTCTGAAAAAATTTGCTGACCCTGCCAGCAAACACATTTTGTGAATTTACGGACCTCTATTTTTCACTTGTATGTAGATGCTGTTACGGTTGATAAAGTACAAACTCATTTAAATATAATATTAATGTAGTGGACATTAGTCATCAGACTACCTTAACCCTCTTGATGTATTTGAGCAATTCCTACCATGTAAGTCTTGCTGGGAGATAGACGGACTCCTTATACAGGCCAGATACTCCTTTCTCCTCCCTCCCTGGCAGCCAGGACATGGACATGGGACTTGGGATCAGTCCATTAGAGACCCCATCTAGGACTTTGCAGCTGGAGTGAGTCACACAAAATAGCAGGGATAGAAGAGATATCATTCTGACAGTAGCAGCGAGTACAGCAGTTACAGCTAACTTCGAAGAGCAGCAGGGCCAGCAGGATGGGGGTGCCTGCAGCAGTGACACATTTCTGGTTGTACCATCACTGGTTTCCTCACCAGACAGTCCCTTAAGGGGTGATTTTGTCTTTGGTTCTGGTTGACTAGCCTCCATGTCTGCCTGGCTAGGACAAGCTCAGACACTAGACGGGACAGCCTGCATCACTCACTGCCTGCAGGGAAGAGGGGGCTGAATGCAGAGGTTGGTAAGCATGAACTGAAGGAAGACAGACAATGGCTGATCCATCTTTGTATCCTTAGCACCTAAGACAGTGCCTGATACTTAAAAAGTGCTAAGTATCTGTTGGTGAGAGCACCAGTGAGTAAGTGCTTGAGTTGGTAAGAGCATACACTAGGGATCTCTGACTTCAGTCGACTCCAGCCACCTGAAACTGGCAATGAGACTTTCATGTATCAGGGTTTCATTAGAAGATATAAAGACAGCCCTACTCTTTAAGCCCTAGATAAGGCTCCAGGGATGAGAAACGGTCAGTACTTGGGGGTCAATGTGTATTTGACCCTGGTCTGTGAGCCTCAGAGCCCACTCAGATGATGTTTGTCGTATCTTGTAGAGGCAGACAGCTGGTCAAAAAGCATTTGCGTGTGCACGTGTGCAGTGGGTGGGAGAATTCGGGACAGGGTGTTTACCAGGTACTATTAGCTCTTGCCCTGGATGGCAGACTTCCATGAAGCGGGAAACTTAGTGCTGGTCCTAAGGACCTTTCCAGTGGATTTGTAATTTAGAAAGAAGTGATTACCATGATGACTAAAAATCAGCAATATTTTATTACTTCTCGATCTATTTATGTATGCTGGATAACCAATTTTTAAAGATCTGGGAAGAAAGAGAGGAGCCAATGAGAGCTTTCAAAGCAAAAGATTAAGAATCGACAGTGACATTGCCACAAAGCTGGTGCTCTGATGCCACAATGTTAGTGGTTTTTCTCAAGAGAGGAAGATCACGGGGATGAAGCTCTGCTGGGGTATTCCCACAGTGCAGAGCCTCAGCAGAAGCCAAGAAGGTTTGGGGTTTTTTGTTAATTAATTTATTTTTAATTTATTTATTTTTGGCTGTGTTGGGTCTTCGTTGCTGCGTGTGGGCTTTCTCTAGTTGGGGCAAGCGGGGGCTTCTCTTCGTTGTGGTGCGTGGGCTTCTCATTGTGGTGGCTTCTCTTGTTGTGGAGCACGGACTCTGGGTGTGTGGGCTTCAGTAGTTGTGGCACGTCGGCTCAGCAGTTGTGGCACGCGGGCTCTAGAGTGCAGGCTCAGTAGTTGTGGCGTACGGGCTCAGTTGCTCTGCGGCATGTGGGACCTTCCCGGACCAGGGCTCGAACCCATGTCCCCTGCATTGGCAGGAGGATTCTTAACCACTGCGCCACAAGGGAAGTCCCCAAGATGGTTTTAATAGGACTTCTATAACCAGTATGTTGTGTAAGAATTGATTTTATTTTTGTCCCCCACTAATCCTTCGAAACTTTGTTGAGAAGGCATGATCCTCCTCTGCCCATGGGTGAAGACTTGGGCAGACACATGATTTCTGTCAGATTAAGTCGTCTTGTCACTTTTAACCATACAATCTCATTACACTGAATTATCTAGTCACATCTAATAGTTAGAACTACAAACTTGGCATCAACTCTTTCCTAACTTGAGCTTGCTTCAGGCTTGAAACCTCCAGCGGAGCCATGGGATGGGGTCCTCTGCTCTCTCCTCTTTCCCCCTCTTCAACTTCGCCACTGCGGGAGCTGAGGGAGGGAGGAGCACCAGAGATGGGACAGTTCTTACGTAGCTGCTTGGCTTCGTGCTCTCTCTGCCTGATGATTAGAGCTGGCTCTTTCTCTTAGGTTGGCACTTTCGTACGCTTACCACGCGTTCCCTGACCCTGGCAGAAGCATCTCCATCCTGGCTGCTCACTTGCCGTCTTCTCTCCTCAGTCCCTGGGCACCAGGCAGTACACCTCCAGACCCTTTCTCTGAGGTCTCCTTGGCCCTGCTGATGGCTTGTTGAGCAATGTCAAATATGACCCCATAGCATGGTCCACGAGAAACACTTGTGCATCCCAGGGCTCTGTCATCAAGGTAGTTAGCCTTGCCTTTCTCTCACCCTCTAGATTTCCTGGGCAGGAGTCAGGCCCCAGCCTTCAAGCCCACTTCTGCTTGCTTTCTCAGGCCTGAGTCAGGCACCACTTTTCTGGGTCTCTCAACTGCAGAGGACACATTTCCAAACTCTCTGAGTTGTCCCCTTGAAATTCCCCTCAGCGGATAGTGGTAGAAGGTGTCATTTCCTCACCCTTCCACCAAGATGGGGGTTGGAACTCAGCATAGCAACAGCTTTAACCAAGGAAATCTCTTCATCAATCTTCCTACCAAGTCCTCTCTGTTCTCTCAAAACTCATATTCTTGAAGTGGATAAAGGGGTTCAAGAGCCATGGAACAAGTTCTCATGTTTTCCCCTTAGAATCCTCAATTAAATTTGAAGCAGAAGAGTTCTATGCTAATACCTGTGTATTAGTTACTTATTGCTGCATGGCAAATTACACCAAAACTTAGTGCTGTAAACAATAAACATTTATTATCACTCACAGCTTCTCTGCATCAGGAATTAGGGAGCGGCTTCTGGCTCAGGGTCTAGTGAGGTTCCAGGCAAGATGTCAGCCTGACTGAGGCTTCACAATGGCTTCCAACGTGGTTCCCTCACATGGTATGCAAGTTGGTGCTCGTTGGTGGTGGAAGGCCTCAATTCCTCTCCATGTGGAATTGTCCACAGGGCTGTCTGAGTGTTCTTAGGACATGGCAGCTGGATTCCTGCAGAATGAGCAACTCAAGTGATCACAAGGTGAAAGCAGTAACATCTCTTATGATCTAGCCTCAGAAATCACACACTGTCACCTCTGATTCTTTTTTAGTCATGGCAACCAGTTCTGGTTCAATATGGAAGGAAACTACAAGGGCACGAATATCAGGAATCAAGGATCATTGGTGGGGGGAGGGGCACCTCGGAAGCTTCCTAACATACCCTGTTACACTTCAAATGACCACTGTCCCCTAAAACAAACTGAACAAGGTACAAATAAAGAAGAACCCATTGACTTAGATTGTTTAATCAAAATTTCTTTGGGGACTTCTTGATCTTCAAAATTATATATGTCACCTGGCCCTCTTCACATTTGTTCCTTATCTATAAATGGGTCCAGGACTCTTCCTGAAGGAAGTCAGGGCCCAGGCCTGATATTAAGGGTTCTTTTTGGTTCTCCTATCTCTGATTCTACATAATAATCAGAAAATAAAGCTTTGGAAATATCTTTTAGTGCTAACATTTACACTAAAATTTACAATTAAATAAAAACATTCTAAGGTGTATACAAGAATCATCTCTGTTTTATTTATTTACAGAGTAATGATTTAAACTGAATACATTTGGGCACAGTAGATATTTGACATGAAAAGCAGTTGTATCAGAATGGGCATCAGAAAAATAGCAACTCATCTGACACATAATTACTAGAAAATATTTTTCTGTCGATCATTTAAGTGTTACAAATCCTGAGAATGTTAAACAATGAACAAACTAGGTACTACCTTATAATTAAATCTTGCTTGGAAATCATCCTTTAAAAAAATGCACTGAGGTACAAATCACCTACATATTAAACATGAGTCTTTTACATTTTACAAAGAGTTTAAACAAATATATCAAATGATTCCAGTTCAGTGGCTCTTAAAACAGCTATTAGTCAGGTTCAAGGACACACTGTTCCACGATTTCCCGTAAGTTGGGGTTCTCCATCGCAGCTGCCACTCGTTCTTTGTCATTTATCTGCTTGTTGACTACAAAACACACAGGCAAAAGTTAGCAGGACTATGTCAATACACAGCAGCAGACAGTAATTTTATTAGCTTGTTAAAACAGAATTTAACACCTTGAGAACTTAACGCAGGTTTTCGCTAGTTATTCATTAGTTTTGAAGGGGAGACTTAAAGAGAAAAAACTCCCCTGTAATCCCACTTTTGCTTTTCCTAAATCCCACCTCTGTTATTTTTAAGCGGCTGCCACTTTATTTCTCTCCGTAGGCTAGAGATCCTTTATACAAAAATGCTTCTCTACTCCCATTTTAATACATTAACCCAGGAAGGCAACACCTACCCCAAGATTCCCTAAAGCTTTACTTGCTGGACCTTTGATTTCAATTTCAAGTACACAGCTCTCTATCCTGCCACCAAAGAGAAGAATCAAGCTCTCTTTAGAGCTTATAATTCAAAGTTCCTACAGCTGGATATTCCTCACAGATGTGTGGCCACTGGCCTAAACCAGTCAATATCCACAGGGCTTAACTCTAGTTACACTTCAAATGACCACTGTCCCCTAAAACAAGCTGAACAAAGTACAAGTAAAGAAGAACCCATTAATTTAGATTGTTTAATCAAAATTTCTTTGATTAAGGAAAAACTTAGGAAAAGCTAAGAGCTGATTTTGTTCTTTTTTGCAAATGACCCAATAGATACTTGGCTGGCAGAATAACGTAATACCCAAGATAAAGTACTATATGAAGCTGTTTTCTAATAATGGTTCAAAATTCACTTACTATCTTCCTCCGTTGAGTGGGTTCCTTCAGAAATGTAGATTTCCAACTAGGAAAAAAATACATTAAAAGCAAAACATTTAGAGCATTCTAAGATGAGTGAGGTGGAATGTACAATGGACTCAAGAGTCTAGGGATGAAAGCCCAAATCCTGTTTCCATCATCAAAGACTTGGGACAAATCTTCACATTCTTCTCTAAAATGAGGGCTGAAGTTAGTAGGATTTTTTATTTTGGTCATATGGGGAAGGCCCGCGGCGGGTATTCCCATTCATTATTTTTTAATGAATACAAACCTACAATTTTATGCAAGTGAGATCTCATACATGTTTTACTCAACAATATATATCCCCTGCACTCTACCTCTTCCTCCCAAATCAGTATCTAAACTTTCTCCCTGCCCCACCCCACAAGAAAGCCACATTAATAATCTAGTGTTGGGGCTTCCCTGGTGGCACAGTGGTTGAGAGTCCGCCTGCCGATGCAGGGGACGTGGGTTCGTGCCCTGGTCCGGGAAGATTCCACATGCCGCGGAGCAGCTGGGCCCGAGAGCCATGGCCGCTGAGCCTGCGCGTCCGGAGCCTGTGCTCCGCAACGGGAGAGGCCACAACAGTGAGAAGCCCGCATACCGCAAAAAAAAAAAAAAAATAATAATAATCTAGTGTACTTTCTTCCATATTTTTCTCTATTCCCACATAATTTAAGATTTCACACACACACACATTACATACATACACACACACACACACACCCCCCAAGGCTAGAAGTTTCTTTTTATTGTGTACTTTACAAAAATCGGATCATAATATACAGTTTTCAGTATCCTCCTTTTCTCATCTACTATTATCTTGATAAATTTATTCTCAAGTACAATACTGGTTAAGCTATCTCTCCTGGTCCTGCTGCACTCACTCCCTTAAACTAGCTAACCTCCAAGAACCAGAGCTTTTGAGACAAACCCACAAAATTATTGCAAATCTTGTGGTAAATAAATCATGCTATATGATAAAGATATGTCTATTTTTCAGGGAACATTGGAGCATGTGATCTAATTCGCATATACTTATTTACTACTGAGATAAATGTTTTTCATGAGGGGGAAAAAATCATAGCCTATTATGGCTCTAAGAGACCCTAGAAACCATTTAGTCCAGTCTTCTTTAAAAGACAAAACACCTTATACATTCCCCCAGTGGCATAACACTAACTCTTATTCTAAACAACAAAGGAAGTGGTATAAAATCACTCTATACTCATTTACTTTGGCTTAAAATTATGCACGACTCATTATTCTGAAAAACGGTAAATAAAGGGGAAGAGTCAAGCATTTACCTTGCTATTCCTATGCAAACTATACCTCAGGGTAACCAAACAGTTGGTTTGGTCCACAGAAGATTCTAAATTTGAGAGGTTTCTTGTGGCCCTTTTTAAGTGGTTCTTAATTGGTTTTAAATTTTTGGATGAATATTGTCACCCATCAGGGAAATGCAAATCAAAACCACAGTTAGATATCACTTCACACATTCTAGTGATGGCTATAATGAAAAAAAGAGATAATCATGATAAGTATTGGCAAGGATGTGCCGAAATCAGAACCCTCACAGGCTGCTGGTGGGAATGTAAAAGGGTGAAGTGGCTATGGAAAACAGTCTGGAAGTTCCTCAAAAGGTTAAACGTCGAGTTACCATAGAATCCAGGAAGAAAAGAAATGGAAAACATATGCCCTCGGTGGAAAAGAAATGAAAACACATGTCCACACAAACACTTGCACACAAAGGTTCATAGCAACATTATTCATAAAAGACAAAAAGTGGAAACAACCCAAATGTCTACCAAATTATAAAACAAATAAATACAATGTGATATCTATACAAAAGAACAGTACAAGGCAAAGAATGAAATACTGATACATGTTATGACATGAATGAATTCTGAAAATATTATTCTAAGTGAAAGATGCCAGTCTTAAAAGACCACAAATTATATGATTCCATTTAAATGAAACACCCAGAATAGGCAAATCTATAGAGACAAAAGTGGTTGCCTAGGGATGGGAGAGGGTTTAGGAGAAATGGGGAATGACTGCTAATTGGTATGGGTTTTTTTACTGGGATGATGAAAATGTTCCAAAATTGATAGTAGCGATGGCTGCATAATTTTGTGAATATACCAAAAAACATTAAATTCTATACTTTAAATAGGTGGTTGTATGATATGTGAATCAAATCTCAACAAAGCTATTATAAAACAACAACAAAAAACACATTCCTTACCTTATGTTTAAACGGTAAACACCGCTGAAGTTTAACTCTTAAGCACAGCCCTGCAGAGGAAAAAAAAAAGCCCCAATTATCTCTTCTTATTGGTTCTTGAAAAAGCATACAGCTGTGTCTAGGTGTCTCTGTACAAAACAGTAGCTGAAAAGAGCTTAGGCTCAATCCAATGTACGCCTCCGTTGAGCCTGGCACCTTTACCTAGCAACTTTAATATTGATACATCTTACGAATTCCTCATGATAATCCAGTGAGCTAGGTATTGTCAATCCCATTCTACAAATTATGAAACCAAGGTCACAGTGTAACTTCCCCAAGATCAAAGAGCTAGTAAAATGACAGAGTTGGGACTGGAACCCGAAACCACTGCAAAACGCAGGTCATTTCTGCTGTATCAATTTGCCTTCCATCAAAGGCCAATTCACTCATTAAACTTTATTGAATGCCTGCAACAGGTCAGGCCACACAAAAACTTAAAACCGGGGCGTCCCTGGTGGCGCAATGGATGTGAATCCACCTGCCGATGTAGGGGACACGGGTTTGTGTCCCAGTCCAGGAAGTTCCCACATGTCGCGTAGAGGCTGAGCCCGTGAGCCATGGCCGCTGAGCCTGCTCATCAGGACCCTGCGCTCCGCAATGGGAGAGGCCACAACAGTGCGAGGCCCGCGTACTGCAAAAATACAAAAAAACAAAAAAACTTAAAACCAAGTAAGAGCCACTTAAAAAGCACCACAAGCGGTCTTCCCTGGTGGCGCAGTGGTTGAGAATCTGCCTGCCGATGCAAGGGACAGGAGTTCGAGCCCTGGTCTAGGAAGATCCCACATGCCGCGGAGCAACTGGGGCCGTGAGCCACAGCTACTGAGCCTGCGCGTCTGGAGCCTGTGCTCCGCAACAAGAGAGGCCGCAACAGTGAGAGGCCCGCGCACCGCGATGAAGAGTGGCCCCCGCTCGCCGCAACTAGAGAAAGCCCTCGCACAGAAACGAAGACCCAACACAGCCTAAATAAATAAATTTATTAAAAAAAAAAAGGACCACAAGCAATCTCTCAGATTTGGACTCCTCTGTGCCTGCAGGGTACAAATAGAGTTGTTTCCCTAAAACAAGCTCCTCTGAAGTTCAGTTTATCACCCCAATACCAAGTCACAGTTCAATATTTTTTTTTCCAGTTGAGACTTCCAAGAGAAATTAAAAGTCAGCTTGGAACAGAGCCTCAGTGCCAATGTTTCACTTCTCCCCCACCATAAAATATAGCATACAATTTTAACTAAGTCTACACCTCTAGACAGAGAAGATAAACCAAGCTGCTCTTATTATGAGGAAAAAGTGTCTCTAGTTCCCTGGCTTTGCAGGTTTTTATTTAGAGCAATTTATTTCCTCTCCCAACTAATATCAATACATAAGGGCTTGTTACGTTATAAGGAACATTTTCTTAGTATTTTGGTTTGATTAAAAATAAACAACAATAACAAAACCCCAAACATAACACAGCAAAACATAATTGTTAGACTACCTCTCTTTTGGGGAGGTATGAAATTAATTTGCTTGTGGTTTTCTAAAGTACCACTAGGTTTTCTAACAGAATCATCTGAAAAATTCCAGAGAAGGAAAAAGAATTAAATGAGCTACAATGAGATTGGGCCTACCTTAGAGTCTACAACACAGTAATTCCATAATAAATATTAGGGAATTCTAAAGAAAATATATAATTTCCTTAAGAAGGGTCCCCCTTAAAAAAAAAAAAAAAGAAGGGTCTCCCTTTAGAGTATCTATCTGCCTTAAAGCTTATCTGGAGGGTTTTCCTTCCTCTGCTCCCCCATTGTCTCCTTAATTTGTTTCTTGAGCATTCTCATGTGTTCTAGTCACTGTTGGTAGGTATTTTACCCATAAATAATAACTGTTTTACAATTCACAAAGCACTTTCTTGAATATCAGTATCCTCAAGATAGGCGTATAGCATAACTGAGACAGGTAATTTGGGTTCAAAAGTGGCTCCACTACACACTAGCTGTGTGACGCCAGGCAAGTTACTTAACCTCTCTGAACTTCAGTTTCCTTATCTGTTATACAAGTATTATAATAGTACCACTATATATAAGGTTGTTACGCACGAGGAGTAAATATAGTCATACTTAAAACAGTAGTTGATGCATAATAAGTATCCAGTAAATGTTAGCTATTACTATTTTATCATTTTCATTTTACAGCCAGGAACCAAGATGAGCGATTTGTTCCACATCACATAGCTAATATGTGGCAGAGCTGGAAGCTAAATCTAGACTCCAAATCCTATGCCCTTCGTATCCTGCCTTCAGCCATTCTTGTTTAAGTCAACAGAAAAGATTATCAAGTGGTTTTTCTGCTCTACCCACTCACCCGCTTTGAGTCTTCCTTGTCTTTGGAATGATATACCAGGGTAACTGAGTAGGTGACAACCTAAGCAGTCAGGGTGGAACTCTGACTCAGATGCCTTTCTCTGCTTAGTACTACCTGCTCATAGGAAATGCCTCCTAATGCATCAGCCAGAAAGAGGACTCCCTTCATCGAGTTTTCCAGTCATGTTGCTTGAACACGATTACTATGATACACTACCATACAACCTTCTCAAAAGCCAATGGTCTTAAATGAAACCCATATCAAAAGGGCCAAAAAAGTGACAAAACTCTGTCAAAAGGTGTAGAGATCTGAAATTCAACCATAATCTAATCTTGACACCTTTACAGTTATTTTTATTTCATGTGCTCTCTCAATCTTTGTCCACGTAAACACAGTTTTTTAAAATAACTGCAATCATAACACAAATTCAATTTATCATTCAAGCTTTTTCATCCACTCTCACACAGATACTTTGATTCCTTGATTATATTCATCATTTTCAATAGAAATAAGAAATGCCATTATTTTTATATCATTTCAGTATTAATCGATACTATAGTTTCTTCCAGGATTTATTATCATAAATTTACTATATATGTTTTGAACATGCTACTATTTTCTCCTAGGGAATTATTTCCTTAATTCCTCGGTCAAAGAGTATGAACTTTTTTTTTGGCTATACCATGCGGCTTGCGGGATCTTAGTTCCCTGACCAGGGATTGAACCCGTGCCCTTGGCAGTGAAAGTGCAGAGTCCTAATCACTGGACCACCAGGGAATTCCCTGTGACTTGCTAATATTTACCCAGAGACTTAAAAATATTTCTACCATATGACCCAATAATTCCACTTACAGAAATTTATCCTGAAGTAATAACTAGAGATAAATAAAAATATTTATGTGTAAAGCTGTTCATCATAGTATTATTTATAATTGTAGGAGGCTAGAAGTAGTCTAAGTGGTTACAAAAATGATGACCATATAATTATATGACCATATAGTTGACCATATAATTAAACAATAATATTTAAGGAGAACTAAAAAACATTTCTCATCTACTTCATGCTTTCTATTACTTAACCCTTACAACTCAGTAGTTACCCTTACTATCAGTATTTTACAGATAAGGAAATAGGCTCGGAAAGGTTAAGTAACTTGCCCAAGACCAAAGAGTGACAGAGCTGACAGAGCTGGAATTTTAGCCTAGAGCACACATTCTAATGACAACTTTTAAAAATTTTCTTCTTTATACTTTTGTGGAATTTCAGAATTATTGCCAACAAATATGTTACTTTTATAATTTAAGAAACACAATATAAATATTACTTTTTGAAATCTGTTTTCGATATCTGTTGATTCAGAAACTGTCCAATGATGAAAAATACGTATTCAAGAATGCTTTTTCTAGTATTGGAATTTTATAACCACAATAGTATCTATGGATTCACAGACCATCTAGTCCCTCAAGATGTGCCCCATATGCTGGAAACCACTACTTGAGGGATCCCAGGTCCAACAAGTGAGAAAAGAAAGACAACTCACAACAATAGTAGAAACAATAATAAAATATTTACCTTTCCAATCCTTTTTATAAATTTGTCTATTTTTAAATAGGTAATATAGTCTCAATGTTCAAAAGCTTAAAAATATAAAAAGTTATAAAGTCTCCCTGCCACCCTATCCTCCATCTGACCAGTTCCCACCATCACTAATGCCCACACCCATCTTAGCTATTCATTTCTTATGTTTTCTTTATGGATATGCAATCAAATATAAATGTATATTTTTGCTCTTCTTTACACAAATGTAGCAATATTATACTTGCTTTTATTTCCAAACAGTATGTCATAGAGATCTTTCCATATTAGTATATGGAGAGCTTCTTTATTCTTTTTTATAGCTGCATAGTATTCCATTGTTAATAAACACCATCACTGATTATTTAATTGGTTCCCTACTGATCAAGATCTGGTTTGAAAGAAACTTTACCTTCTTTTTAACAAAGTATACATTCAAAGATATCTATTGTATATCTCACAGCTAACTAATCCAAAATATTGGGAATGCAACCTCTCAAAAAGAAAACTACCTGAAAAAATACCCTCCCACCAGGACTTCTGCCCATGCTACATAGAAGCCAAGAGAGTAGCTAAAAGGAGGAGATGGTAAGGACAGCAGTGCTAGTCTGACAACACCCATTCCGATCTCCAGAACTGAGGAGAGGAGCTGGCCCACACTCAGGCTCCATTAACTGTAGAGAAGCAGCATGGTATAGCTAAAGGAAAAACACACTTAAAGTCAGGAGACCTGGAATTGAGCCTCAGCTTCATCATTTCCTGCCTACATGATGCTGAGCAAGTCCCTTAAACTCTCTGAGCCTCAGGTTCCTCATCTGTAAAATGAAGATAATATTGACCCTCTCATACGCTAATTGTTGAGAACTACAGAAAATATTCTGTAAACCATAAAGTATGATACATGATGCTAATTGTTACTGCGGGTCAGTATCAGCTAGAATAATTCAGAATTAATATATAAATATCTTTATCTAAAACCTTACCAATAAGAGTCGCCAAAGAGCAATGAGGTACTGTTGGCGTGAACCTGATAATAACCAAATAGTCTTCTTCATTTATCTCCTGAACCTCCACACAACTTTCCGTTACCACTTCCAGTTCTTCTAAAGTATTGGGCTTCTCTGGGTCCCGGATAGTTCGAATCAAATCTAAAGAAACATCAGAGAAAAGGTTTTATGTTAAAACATGAATATTCTAAATACAAACAATTTTGCCAGTCCTAATCCAAACACTTACTTCTTTTTGTTTGAGCAAATACTACAGCCACTCCCCAGGTTTCTGACAGAAATTTCCACTACTAGTGTCCTTTTGAGAAAACCATTTTCTTGGATTATTACTACCTCATGTCCAGTTTCTTGGATCCAACCTTGCAGAGAGAATACATGAATGGGGAAAGTGTCATAGAAGTTCAAGGGAAAAAATAACTTAGTTTGGGAGAATGCAGTATCGGGATTTATGGAAATGGAATCTGAATCAAGCCTTTAAAAATGGGTAACATTTTGGGGAATTCCCTGGCAGTCCAGTGGTTAGGACTCCACGCTTCCACTGCAGGGGCCCAGGTTTGATCCTTGATCAGGGAACTAAGATCCTGCAGGCCACACTGCGCAGCCAAAAAAAAAACCCACAAAAAACAAAAACAAAAAAATGGGTAACATTTCAATATTTGCCATTTAAGGTGAAGGAAAGTAAAGAACAAGTTTAGTTTGCACAGAACTCAGCATAAGGGAAGAAGTTATTAAGAGTTTAGGCCAGCCCATTAAGGCTCTTTTAGAGTCAGCAACAGGCAACAGGATGTCCTCAAGAGGTTCTGAACAAGGGAGTGACATGGACAGCATTACACTGTCAGCTGGTAGACTCAGAACTAAAGAGCAGAGCCCGGGATACCAGCTGAAAAAGCTGGGCCTAAAACAGGGACATGACCATAGCAATAGAGAGGAGGGGAAAGACGAAGAAGTAATTTCAGAGGCAGAATCAACAGAATCTGACAACTATTTGGATGTAGAAGACAAGGAAAGGGAGAAAAGGAAGATGACTAAGATTGTAAATCTAAGCGCCTGTGAGAACAAAGATAGAATTAAAAAAAAAAGAAGAGAGAACAAAGGAAGAAATTTAGGTGGGGGCTGAGATAAACAGGTTAAATCTTATATATAATCATTCTGAGGTGCTTAAGGGGCAAACCAATGGAACATTCCAGCAAACACTGAATTATGGCATAAGGTTTAAGAGAACCAAGGCTGGAGTGGCTGTTGAACTCATGGGATTCACAAAGAACAATGAGTAGAACCATAGTTTTCAACCTTGGCTGAACAATGGAATCACTAGGAATGTTTCAAAACAAAAACAAAAACTGGTGTCTGAGTCCTACCAGGGATTCTGATTTAATTGATTCACAGTATGACCTGGGCATTGAGACTTAAAAAAATTCTTCAGGCTGTTCTTATGTGCAGTCCAGTTGGAGAATCACAAATGTAAAGGGAAAGAGAACCAAGTATGGATCTGTAGGAAGCACCAAATTTGGGGATCAATAGGAGGAAGAAAAGCAAAACGCAGCATAAAAGGAAAGAGGGGATGGTTAACAACATCAAATGCTGCAGAAAAGGGCCTTCCCTGGTGGCACAGTGGTTAAGAATCCACCTGCCGATGCAGGGGACACAGGTTCGATCCCTAGTCTGGGAAGATGCCACATGCTGTGGAGCAACTAAGCCCGTGCACCACAACTACTAAGCCTGCGCTCTAGAGCCCGCGAGCCGCAACTACTCAGCCCATGTGCCACAACTACTGAAGCCCGTGCACCTAGAGCCTATGCTCTGCAACAAGAGAAGCCACCGCAATGAGAAGCCCGCGCACCACAACGAAGAGTTGCCCCCGCTCGCCACAACTAGAGAATGCCCACGTGCAGCAACGAAGACCCAACACAGCCAAAAATAAATTTAAAAAAAAAATGCTGCAGAAAAATGCAGGTTAACGAAAGCTAAAGCCGGTCTCAGAAGGTCACCTGTAAGAAAGCACTTTCGGTAGAGAGGTAAAGGCAGAGGCCAGCTTGCAAAAGGGGAAGTGAGAAGGAACTGCAAATGTAATCCTAGGGCTTTGACAGGGAAGGAGGGAAGAGCAAAAAAAGGACAGTGCGTTTAGAAAAAGCTAGAACAATGACAAGGATAAGGGAAACTTGAGTATGTTTTATAGCCCAAGGGGAAGGATCAAACAGAGGAAGGAAAAAAAAATAGAGGAAGAGCCACTGAAATTTCAAGGAGGGGAGTGGAGGAGGCTGGTAAACTAAGCAGAAAGGAATGAGACCAAAGATGTGGGAGGCTGGGTTCGAGGTGGAGAGGAAAAGATTTCCTTCTTACCCTGAGGTTGTAGAAAAAGATGGAAAAGGAGAATGATAAGAGAAATAGTGAGGTAGAAAAAAGCAGAGGGAGTTCACATGCGACAGGCTTGATGTTCTCAAGCCTGAGGTTTTGTTCTATTACTCACAGCACCCCTGTAATCAGAAATCCAGCTGGGAAAAACAAATCAATCAAACTCTATCTTCTCCCCAGCAACTCCTGAGCTTATCACTTGATTAGAAACAGAATTTGAAAAGGGAAGCAGGAAAAAGAGGCTTCACAAGGCTGTGAAACACGGGGCTCAGGGAAACAGGTTTTTTTGAAAAGGAATTTTTTCCCTTTCCTCCTAGGCCTTTTCCCTGTAAGGCTCATATATACAAGCTGCATTATATTGTTCATATGTTAAATAACTCTGAAAGTAAACCTCACGCGTTATTTAACTTCTCTCCTTTTCTAGTGATTTGCATTTATTTTTTTAGAAAGAAAGCAATGTTGCTCTCCTCACATTGCTCCCTTGACTTAAATTCTTCTACTGGCTCTGCACTGATATTAAATTCTTCATTTATATTTAAACCTTCAGGATCCAGTTCCAACCTGCTATGTAAAACAATTTTTGACCACACCTCCCTCCACCTTTAACCACAAACCCTACCTGTACAATGAAGATGGTTCCAGGGGTTGAATAGAGAATATAAGTGTGTGTGCGTATATATATATTATATATTATACATATATAACTCACTGTGTATTTTTTTTTGCACTCCAGTCTTGGGTGTGTTAAAGAACTATAAGTTCAAGGCCGGGCTCTTGGGGACCTCTGCTTTACTGCTTTGTGGAGATCATTCCACTCACACTTGTCACCTGACTGGGTTTAAGTCCTGCCCCTAGCAAGAGGTAAACCAGATTAACTCCGAAGGTCTTTAACATCCCTGGCTTCTTTCTACGGGTCTATAATCCTTACCTGCATTATCTGTATTCTTGTGGTTATACTTTTACCCTAAGTCAGCAGGAATCTTTGAACGCTCGTTAGATCCAGTCGTTTTAGTTTTCAAAAACAATACTAATAAGTCCAAAAAAGGCAAGTCATAAAGCAATTATGAAGTGATGAAAAGCGCACTAAGTTTGGAATCAGAAGACAAGAGCTTTGGTTTTTGCTGTTTCTTTACTGGCAGAGTGGCCTCCAGGTAGTTGTTTAACCACTCTACACCTTTATTTCCTCATCTGTACGATGAAGATGGTTCCAGGGGTTGAATAGAGAATATGTGTGTGTGCATATATATACGTTATACATATATATAACTCAATGTGTGTGTATTCCTTTTTGCACACCAGGCTTGGGTGCGTTAAAGAACGATAAGTTCAAGGCCGGGCTCTTGGGGACCTCTGCCTACGGCCTCTGCAGCAGAAGAGGGTGGCTGTGACCTTGGGCCAGTCCCCAACTCGGCAGTCAGCCAGCAGTACCCTCGGCGGCGGAAGGAGAAGTGTGTGTCCAGGGGCTAGGAAGGAAGGAGGTTCAAGTAGGGCAATCAGGCCAGCTTTGCTTCCTAACCAAACACCCTAGACGCTTGCTCTGCCCATAAGTCTTGAGATAGCCACTACAACGTGGGGGAAGACAAGGGAAATGAAGCGTTTGAGACCTCCAGGCTCGGCCTGCCCCGGGTTTAGCAAGAGCCTGGGTCCTAGAAAGACCCACATGCCCGTGTGACTTAGGACTCCGGAGAAAAAGCTTCCTACGCTCCCGGACGAGATCTGGCAAAAACTCGAGTCTCCACTCTTAACCCTCAGGTGAGGCCCTCGTTACCCCCGCCTCCACGTATACCACCAAATGCTGCCCTGGGTAAAATTAATTACCATAAACTTCTAGCGCTTTCTCTTCCATGATCCGGGGCTGCCGGGCAGCTCCCCGCTCAAAGAGGCCCGACAGCCACAGGACTCTGCTCAGCGTCCAGGAGAGCAGTCCGGACACTCGCTCCATCCTTACGCTCCGCCATCCCTGGCGACTGTCCCACCCGAGCCACCGTCTCTCAGCAGCGAGCCTCTCGACTTATCAACTTCCTGGTCTTCAAACGGGCCAAGAGAAGCCTAAAGGTCCGGGGCAGAGAATAGGCGGGACCGGACGGAGTATCGCGAAGGACCTAGGTAAGGGAGCCACGAGAACTACAAGCCCCAGCATGCTTTGCTCGGTTTCGGCGGAACAAGGGAAAAACAATTCCTAGAGGCCCATGAGGCGCGTTGCGTGCTGGGTCGTATGGGCGTTTTCTTTGGAAGACGGTGAGCTGCAATATGGGATCTGTAGTCTCCAACGGTGGGCGGGGGCAGGTAACGGTCTGTTAACCGCCGTTAATTGCCTCACTCAGCGTCTGGATAAGCTAAAAATGAAACCCTGAAGAGGTAGGGGAAAGGAGATCTTGATTTCTAGTGCTGGAAGAGCGTCTGCACGGTGACGCCCTACTATTATTTCTCCGAGGGGGCCGCTTCCTGTCAAAGTTTTCTTACGTCCTAGTCAGGCCGGAAGTGAGTTTCCGTCGCGGTTAAACGGGATGTCTTTGGAGCCTAGTGAGGATGGTTAGGCGTGGCGGGAGGAGGAGTTCCTTTTTGTTTTCTCGTCTCATAGAGACTCAGGCTAGCACAGGTCCCCACTACGAGCTGAGTATTTCTGCCAATCGCCTTCAAGATAACTTAGAACGAGAGAGCTTTCCGACTGTCCAGTGTGTCCAATAGTGACATTGGAGATCGCCATCCTAAAAAGAACGTCTTAAGCCCTCCGGTTTGGTGGCAGTGATGGATGCCAGTAACAAGGTTGATGATGCTAATTTTACTTTAATCCATCCATCCCTACAGTCAAATCTCAAACCTTTATTCGATACTTAATTTGCCAGACTTGGTCTATAGACGCCAAGGATACGAAGATAGGACACGGCCCTTACCCTCAAGCAGCTCACAGACCTGTGAGGGAGCCAACCCCTGATGTTGAGGAATTTGCAGTTTCGAACAAATGAAACCTTTTGTCAAAGTTGATGACAAGTTTCGTACCATCTCTATTTTACTTTTTATAAATTTATTAATTTTATTTGTTTTTGGCTGCATTGGGTCTTCGTTGCTGCGCAGGCTTTCTCTAGTTGCGGTGAGCGGGGGCTACTCTTTGTTGCGGTACACAGGCTTTTCATCGTGGTGGCTTCTCTTCCTGCGGAGCACGGGCTCTAGGCACGCGGGCTTCAGTAGTTGTAACATGCGGGCTGAGTAGTTGTGGCTCGCGGGCTCTAGAGCACAGGCTCAGTACTTGTGGCGCACACGCTTAGTTGCTCTGAGGCATGTGGGATCTTCCCGGACCAGGGCTTGAACCTGTGTCCCCTGCATTGGCAGGCGGATTCGTAACCACTGCGCCACCAGGGAAGCCCTCATACCATGTCTATTGAGAGGAAAGTAAGGATTATCTTGCTGAATTATCCCATGATAACATATCCCATTTATCTTTTTTAATAGATATTTATTGGAGTATAATTGCTTCACAATACCGTGTTAGTTTCTGTTGCACAACAAAGCGAATCAGCCATATGCATACACATGTCCTCATATCCCCTCCCTCTTGAGCCTCCCTCCCATCCTCCCTATCCCACCCCTCTAGGTCATCACAAAGCACCGAGCTGATCTCCCGGTGCTATGCTGCTGCTTCCCAGCAACCAACTGTTTACCATTCGGTAGTGTATATGTCAATGCTACTCTCACTTTGCCCCAGCTTCGCCCTCCCACCCCATGTCATCAAGTCCATTCTCGATGTCTACCTCTTTATCCCTGCCCTGCAACTAGGTTCATCAGTACCATTTTCTTTTTTCTTTTTTTTAGATTCCATATATATGTGTTAGCATACGGTATTTGTTTTTCTCTTTCTGACTTACTTCACTCTGAATGACAGTCTCTAGGTCCATCCACCTCACTACAAATAACTCAGTTTCATTCCTTTTTATGGCTGAGTAATATTCCTCCCATTTATCTTTAAACTCTTGTCTAGCTGATTAGATTTTAGGCCCACCAGACAACCAGTGAATAATTTAGGTCCCAGGAAAATTTCGTTCAGAGTTTAATAATTCCCCTGCCATCTGTTCCACTCCACTTACTCCACAGCAATTGAGAGGATAATTCTAACTTCCTTGTAATCAAATTTAGGACACTGAAGTCTCACCTCCTCTTTGAGGCCTCCCGACTTCTCCAAACAGAATTGATGATCTCTTTTACTATGCTCCCACAGCACATTATAGCACTGTTCACTTACATGCCCATCTCCCTCAAGCGCCTAGGGGGCCAGAAGCGTCTTTATTTCTATATCTCAAGTGCATAGCAGGGTGCCAGGCACACAGTAGATGCTCAATATATATTTCTTGAATGAATTAACTAAATGTTGTTGAAAGAATGAATAGCAAAGCTTTACTGTATCTGTTCAAAGACCTCAATCAAAAATATTTATTGAGGACTTCCCTGGTGGCGCAGTGGTTAAGAATCCGCCTGCCAATGCAGGGGACATGGGTTTGAGCCCTGGCCCATGAAGATCCCACATGCTGCGGAGGAACTAAGCCTGTGCACCACAACTACTGAGCCTGCGCTCTAGAGCCCACGAGCCACAACTACTGAGACCGCGTGCCACAACTACTGAAGCCCAGGCACCTAGATCCCGTGCTCCTCAAGAGAAGCCACCTCAATGAGAAGCCCACGCACCACAACAAAGGGTAGCACCCCGTTCGCGGCAACTAGAGAAAGCCTGCGCAGAGCGACGAAGACCCAATGAAAGCAACAATTAAAAATATAAATAATTTTAAAAAATATTTATTGAAGCTCTATGTAGCCACTGTGCTTGGCATGGGTTGGTGGCACGAAGAGGTTTTCAGACTCGCTTCTTCGTCTCCTTAAGAAGCCCGGTAGATAGAGCTATCTAGAGCACAAAGAGCCCTTAAGAACATGCACGTCCCCGAGAGCCTCCTTTTCTGTCCCTTTGCCCCGTAGGTTAAGAGCTCAGCCCTGAGACCAAGGGTTTGGATTGGCTGGGCAGGAGCCCCGGGTCGCCCCGCCCCGCCCCCAGCGCGTAGGCCCCGCCCCGCGGGCCCCGCGGGACTGGTAGCGGCCTTCCCTCTTCGAGCCGCTGGAACGCTTTGCTCGCAGCACTATCTCTTTATAAAGTTGTTGTTGCGGCTTCCGCCGTGGGTGGAGGAAGATGGCGTCGGGGGGTGGTGGCTGTAGCGCTTCGGGAAGACTCCCTCCGCCCTTCCCCGTCCTGGAGCCGGAGTCCGAGGGAGCAGTCGGGGGGTCAGAACCAGAGGCCGGGGACAGCGACACCGAGGGGGAGGATATTTTCACCGGCGCCGCGGATGCCGTGAGTTCGCACCCTTCGGGGCAGGCGGGCGGGCGCCCCCAAAGGAAAGCGACGCTAAGCGAGGGTTGGGGAGGCTGGGCAGAGTGGGCCCGGCGAGACCTTACGTTGGTGACAGTAGTCGTGGCTTGGGTTCTAGATGAGCACCGAGACGTAGGGCCCGGCTTCCCCGCCCCTGGGCGGACGGTGAGGAGTGAGGGATGTGGTGGCTTCTCAGCTGAGGTCCGTGACAGCGAAGAGCCTCCGAGGCGGGCATTTGGCCCTGCCTTGCGGCCCCACGGACCCACGGGGCTGGTTTGCTGGTGGTTTCCTGCCAGGCTGATTTAATAGATCAAGATAAGGGGGTGGGGTGCAGACTTTCCTTTACCTCGCCTTACTGTTCCAAGGATGAATAATGTTATCTGGAGTTGCCCAGGGTAGTGACCTGCCCACAAATCCTTTCGTTAGCTCCATCCTTACCGGTGATTACTAAAGGTCCTTTTGGATCTTAGTCTAGGAGAATTAACTTGACTCCTTTGATCTCTAGGAAAATCCTGCCAGATGTCGGTTGAAAAAAAGGTCCTGCCAGATAAACCACTACGTAGATCGAAAGCTTTGTCCCTGTTTTTTGTGCCTAAGTACCTCAGTGGGAGCAAATCTGTAAATGAGAAGAGGCAATGGTGTTTCCCATAGTAATATCCGGGTTTCTTTTAAGAGTTAGGTATTAAAAAAACTCATCTTTATATGTGGAATGTGGAAATCAATAATCAGTTCTGGAACCAATGGAGATGTTTTTGGGCTGTTTTATAAGAATACTGACTCATACCATTTGGTACAGTTAGTTCCAGGTTGAAAACTTCTTCAGTGCTAGGAGTGAATTTATGTTTCTTTCTATCTTGGTTAATGCTTAGCTTCATAGTAGCTACTCAGTATATGAGTGACTAAATAAAACAGTTTTAAATTCTTTATGCAAGCATGTGTCTGAAAAAGTTTGAGGCTTCTCTCATTTAAGTCAGAAAAAGGTTAAGTTTCTTGGCAATGCCTTCTGTGATAATCATTAGATTTTTCCGTGTACTGTATTTAGGAATTAAGTCCATAATCCCAGCTCCAAAAGTGTTTGCTGATGCTTATATAACAGCTCAGACTGTCAAATGAAGTCTCTGTTATTCTGAGAAATAACTCTTGTTGCTAATTTAGTTCTGTATCCCATTTAAAACAAATCTTTTGTCTATTCCTTTAGTAATTCCCTCATAAGCCATGCAGAACAGTGACTGTTGATAACTGCTGAGATGGTAGATAGTCAGACTGAACATCTGAAAACAGAGACTCTGGCTCTGAAAGCAATTGGTCACATTGGTAAATGATGATTTATTTTTCAAAAAGGACCCTGGAAGGATGAGTTGTTATTTTCTAAAGTTCTCTGAGTAAGTTCAAGAGGTTGTGATTTGATTGGTCTCACCAGATTACTTCCCAGAGGCATCCATACTTGTCTCCTAAGATAGTGAAAATACTTTGCCTAATTTCCATCTAAGGGGAGGAGGAGGGGGTCAGAATGAACTTGTTCGACCACAGAAAGCCAAATTATTTTTATTTAGATTTTGATCCAGGAAAATTGAGTTGCTGAGGGAACTAAAATGCCACCTGTAAGCCATTTTTTAGCAGCTTGTCTTGATGTTAATCTTCAGAAAGCCGAGACCCCAAGGTTCCTCACTAGTTAGGCTGTGAATTTTTTGTTAAATAGTCAATACAAATTATATTACAATAAATGCTTTAGTTGTGAGCCAGTGTGAGAAGATGGATTGCAGTGCTTCTGTATCTTAAGGAACAAGATTGAAGAATAAAGTAATTAAGAAAGTGGGCTTTGAAGCCTGGTTTAAATCCAGGCTCTGTTACTTGCTTGCTTAACCTTGGGAAGGGTACTTATTTACTCTGTACAGTTTCCTCACCTGTAAAATGTGAATAGTAATAGTATTTACCTGCACCATTATTGTGAGGATTAAATTAGAATACCTGTAAAACACTTAGAACAGTTGAGCATTTTGTAAACTAGAATTACTCGAAGAATCAAAAAACCCACAAAATCTAATAATGAATTAGAAAAGTTAAATTAATTAATCCTAAAAATGGTTAATGTAATTTATCAAAATCAAACTGGTAATAAGATTGATTTGATTAAAATCCATCAAAGTAGGCACTTAATGACTTCAGTAGCTTCCTACTGATTTAAGTTTATCTTCATACTAGGTTTTGTTGCATGTTGGAGGCAAAGAGAGGAATATTAAAGAATTGAGAAGCTGAGGCATATAAAGTTTAAAACTCATTTTTGGTATGCATGTAATTTCCTGGACATTGATATAACAGCTGCTGCTGTTAATCATCCCATCTGCTCTCTTTTAGAGCCCAAGAGACTTTCTTAATATGGTAATAAAAATATGATTTGATTTTTAATGGAAAGAGCAGCCCCTGATATGCATTTTAGGATCTACAAACCAGTTATTTGAATGGGATAGACTGGAGTTAAAAGGATTATTAAAACAAATCTGAAATCATTGCTTTAAGCCTGAAAACCAGTTTGTGGAAGGTCTGGTTCTTAAGAATACTCAAGACCTTATCTTCTTTATGCCTCTTACTTTGTGGACCTATGAATAAAAAGGTCTAAAATTTTAAATATATTATCTGAATCTTTGATTGGACCTGAATCCAGATATGTATCTATTTAGTTAAAACTTTCTTAGTTTTAGGATAGGATTAATTTTTCCCTTAGTAAGAAGAGAGACTAAATTAGAGCCCCTTTTCGGTTCTTCTAATTCTTAAAATTGTTATGTTAAAAACACTAAATAGCATACATGTTTTTACATCTCATTTGACCTCACTGGTCTTATTTGCATACTTCTAAACCGGAAAGGTAAAATTGAAGCAAGTTCTTTATCTGCCTTCCCAGAAGCTCGTATATGCTCATCTCTTTAGCAGTATGCCAGGACCACCATTAGATTTGCCCTCTGAATAAAAGAGGAGAACTGTGGTGTCCTTTCTCATGCTGAGAAAAAGGAGGGAAACATAGATTAATGATATCCTTGGTTCAGGTTTTGGCCATATCTGGTAACTTCTTCATTTGATGATATATTATACCAATTAGATTTTTTTTTTCTCACCACTCTTATTCTTAAATTGAAACCCTTGTAATTAGAGAAATGGCTAGAAAAAAAGAATAGGATAAAGACAAAATAGCAGGGGACTTGAAAATGAAAAGTCACATATTGAAAAACTTGTCTTTGGTTAATCAAGACTTATTTACATATTTCCACTGGTGTTTAAAGAACAATGTCACTAGCCTTTATTGGTAGTCAAAAGTCAAGGATAGCAATTGGCTTCTGATTGACAATGTTTTATGGACTATAGGGAATTATATAAACATAAGTTACATATTAACATTTAGACAGAAAAGGGCATGGTATTTTTAGAATCCAGTCCTACATCTATGATCAATATAACATGTATCCTGAGGGGAAAACAAATAAGCTTTTTTTAAATTGTGGTATAAAACACAACAAAATTTATCATCATAACCATTTTAAATTGTACAGTTCAGTAGTGCTAAGTATATTCACATTTGTGTGAAACAGATCTCCTGCATTAAATAACAACTCCCCTTATCCCGCTCCCCTGGGCCCCTGGTAGCCACCATTCTACTTTCTGTTTCTATGAATTAGACTGCTTTAGATAACCTCATAAAGTGGACTCATACAGTATTTGTCTTTTTTGTGACTGGTTTATTTCACTTAGCACAGTATCCTCAAGATTCATCCATGTTGTAGCATGTATCATAATTTCCTTCCTTTTTAAGGCTGAATAATATTCCATCAAATGTATATACCACATTTCATTTATCCATACATCCTTCAGTGGACATGTAGGTTACTTCTGCCTTTTGGCTCTGTGAGTAGTGCTGCTATGGGTATGCAAATATCTCTTTGAGACCCTGCTTTCAATTCTTTTGCATATATACTCGGAAGTGGGATTGCTGGATCATAAGGTAGTTCTATTTTTAAGTTTTTGAGGAACCTCCATACTGTTTTCCATAGCAGTTGCACCATTTTACAATGTTATCTCAGCTCTTTTTTAAGACCAGTTTATTTCCTTTTGAGTGCTTATAGGATAACTTTTTTAGATCTGGATATAAGTTGGTAATTTCATTAAAAGCTCTAAGGAAATTGATAGTTTAACTGGCTAAGATTTTAATTCTCTGTTCTGCAAAATGCGTGGTGGCTATTCCCAAAGGTATAACATGTCTTCAGTAAGTTTCTTGATACTGTCCTTTCTCTGTTCCTAATCAGACTTCTTTTTTTTTTAAAAAAAATAAATTATTTATTTATTTATGGCTGTGTTGAGTCTTTTGTTACTGCGCACGTGCTTTCTCTAGTTGCGGTGAGCGGGGGCTACTCTTTGTTGCGGTGCGCAGGCTTCTCATTGCTGTGGCTTCTCTTGTTGTGGAGCACGGGCTCTAAGCGTGTGGGCTTCAGTAGTTGTGGCACGCAGGCTCAGTAGTTGTGGCTCGCAGCCTCAGTAGTTGTGGCACACGGGCTTAGCTGCTCCACGGCATGTAGGATCTTCCTGGGCCAGGGCTTGAACCCGTGTCCCCTGCATTGGCAGGCAGATTCTTCATCACTGCACCACCAGGGAAGTTCCCTAATCAGACTTCTTAAAGTTAATCTATACAACAGTATTTTTAAACAGATTTAATACTTAGTTTCTTTAGTTAATGGTATAGTCATTTACAACTAATATTAGTAAATAGTCATGGATAACTGTCCGTCTAGTTTGTAGTATTTTCTAGACGCATATTGTCTCAAACACTTGTTTTTGGAGCTAACATCACATCAGGTGGTCAGATCTGATCAAAAGATCAGAAGTTGAAATTACACATTTTTCACACAGGTCTGATACAGATGTTCTTGGAAAAGTCAGTAACTGGTGTTTTGTCTAAAGATGCATTTTAATGCTCAGCTCAAATTGTAAACTTCTAA